GGCGGAGGTTGCGGTGAGCCGAGATCGCGCCATTGCACTCCAGCCTGGGTAACAAGAGCGAAACTCTGTCTCAAAAAAAAAAAAAAAAAAAAGAGTTTGAGACCAGCCTGGCTAACATGGTGAAACCCCGTTCCTACTAAAAATACAAAAAATTAGCCAGGTGTGGTGGCGTGAGCCTGTAATTCCAGCTACTTGAGAGGCTGAGGCAGGAGAATTGCTTGAACCCGGCAGGCAGAGGTTGCAGTGAGCCGAGATTGCACCATTGCACTCCAGCTTGGGCAGCAAGAGCAAAACTTCGCCTCAAAGACAGAAAAGAAATCATCTAGCTGTTCTGTTTCCTTTACCACTGTTAAAAAACATTAAAGAGGAAGGTGTGATTTAATGAGCCAGGCAACATCCTGGAGACCAAAGAGTTTCAGAAGAAACAGGGCCAAGTTATAATGTGGGCTTTCTTAGCAGTCACAGATTTTGTACACATTGCCTAATTTTAACAATTTCAGTCTATTCTGGAGTGATTGAGAGGCCAACAGATTCTTAGCACTTAACAAAAAGGAAGAAAAGGAAACTCATGAAATTACCATTTCTATAAATAGACCTGGAAAGAACAATGTGAATTAAATTCAGTCAAGCCAAGAGGCTTAATATATGAAAAGCAAAGAATAAACTGAACAGGCTTAAAATTAAGAGCGTAACAAAAAAAAGGGAATAGATATCTGGCCAAAGTGGATGCTGATAGATAACTCTTACAAGATTTACACTGGGATGACAGACTTAATTATTCCTGTTGATACACCATTGTTAAATTTTTATTGCCTCTTCATCTCATCATTCGTTTTGCCCTGCTTTACTGTGGCAAAACAACACTTCTTCCAGTCAGTCAAATTTGTACCTCAAATTCCACATGTAACTTTCCAGTCTCTACCCTTTTTCTTTTTTAAAATTTACTTTATTGCCAGGTTTGGTGGCTCATGCCTATAGTCCCAGCTAATTGGAAGGCTGAGGTGGGAGGATCGCTTAAGCCCAGGAGTTCTGGGCTGTTGTAGTGCGCTCTGCCGATCAGGTGCCCGCACTAAGTTCGGCATCAATACAGTGACCTCCCGGGAGCGGGGGGTGGGGGGAATCACCAGGTTGCCTAAGGAGGGGTGAACCGGCCCAGGTTGGAAATGGAGCAGGTCAAAACTCCCATGCTGATCAGTAGTGGAATCGCGCCTGTGAATAGCCACTGCACTACAGCCTGGGCAACATATTGAGACACCATCACTAAAAAAAGAAAAAAAAAATTATTTTATTTATTTTGAGATAAGGTCTCTCTATGCTGCCCAGGCTGGTCTTGAACTCTTGGGCTCAAGCAATCCGCCTGCCTTGGCCTCCCAAAGTGCTGTGATTGCAGGCATGAGCCACCACATCCACCCTGATCCTTTTTTTTATTTTCAACCTTCCAAATGCTGCTTAAAGTCACATCGTTTAGGGAATCTTACCTGATAAATCCACCTGACTTAAAGCCATTACACTTAGCACTTATTCAACTGGTGGTATATTTATTTGACCATTAGCATATTGATTTTTTTTTTTTTTTTTGAGATGGAGTTTCACTCTTTTGCCCAGGCTGGAGTGCAGTGGTGCAATCTCAGCTCACTACAACCTTCGCCTCCCAGGCTCAAAGCAATTCTCCCTGTGTTAGCCTTCCAAGTAGCTGGGATTACAGGCACCTATCACCATACCCAACTAGCTTTTTTTGTATTTTTTAGTAGAGATGGGGTTTCACTACGTTGGCTAGGTGGGTCTTGAACTCCTGACCGCGGGTAATCCACCTGCCTCAGCCTCCCCAAGTGCTGGGATTACAGGTGTGAGCCACTGTGCCCGACTCCTGGCCTTTAATTTATATTTTTATTTATTTATTTATTTTTGAGATGGAGTTTCGCTCTTGTTGCCCAGGCTGGAGTGCAATGGCAT